CTTTTTCAGTATTTGGACTAATACTGTTCTAGCAAATTTTAGATGGTAAATTTATCGGTGAGACTGCTTTTCTTTACAAATATAGGTAAAGACAGGTACAGACTTTTTTTTTTTTTTAACATCAGATAATACATAATGGCACTTAAAATTCAGAGTTATTCCCTGTTTGGAAACAATGCAACAACCTACTGCTATGTTTTGCTTTTGGTAAGATCAGTATTGCTGTTAAGTATTTAACGCTACTCCCTCTGTAGGTCTCACTCTGTGCAGCTTTATGCTAAGAGTAAGACATAAACTCCATGCCCCCTTCATGATGACTGGGGAGACCCAGCACATCCAGTGGGCAACTGACCCATCCTCTGGCCTGTTTGTCCCACACTTTGTCTGGATTCCTCCTGGAAAATTTTAAAATGTTCAGGTTAGACCTCTAACATATGCTAGCTGCCCATCACCTCTACAATCAGGGAGGGTCAGACCACTAAGTAATGATTCATCCCACCTTTTTAAATGCATCTCCTAGATTTGTCTGAATTGCACTCTAGAGGTGATTCTTCACATTAGACAGACACAGCTTTGACTTTGCACTTAGGTTGTAGGTGGCTAAATTTCACTGAGAACAATCCCATCCTAAATAAAACTGGTTTTGCCATTATCGAGGTGTCTCTACAAGCCAGGTTTTGATCATAAGGTGTGGGTGTGATGTCTTTCACATGCTTAGCTCACTCAGGATAATGTCTCTCTGCTCCAATAATTTCTCATATAATTTACTGTGGGAGATGGAGCAATAAGCTTTTTGTAATCCACTTACATTGTGTATTAATTTACAACTTGAGATTTGTAAAAAGAAGCTTGCAGCGCCTTTATTCTTTCCAAGTCTCCTCCTGTACAGATGCAAATTAAATTTTCTCACTATAAATTTAAAACTTCAGTAGACTCTTCTTTTTTTTTTTTTCCCAGGTAAATTAGTGCCATGTCTATTATTGTTACAGCCTTACAAATAGCCAAATACAGTTGGTTTGGGGTTTTTTTTCATTTTTTTGTATTTTGTGTATTTGCAAACACAAAACTGTGTATGTATAGAGCTCTGGTCCTTCAACTGAGTCTGGATGTCACTCAAACAATGTAACAACTTCTTCATAAGAATATCACTACTCAAACTTTTTCAGAAAATAATATGCAAAATGAATGAAAGTTCTGTAACAAAATAGTGCAAAAACCAAATGTGTGATTTGTATAACTAATCCAATTGCATTTTATTAAGGTAAGCAGCTTCTCCAAAAGAAAAATATATCTGAATTACTAAGAATTTAGGTACTTCATAAACAGGAAAAACTATCAGTCCTTATGACTCATGGAATATAATATTAATTATATATTGGATGGGGTTTGGCTGCAGGTATTGCAGCAGCAGTGCTAGTAAGCTACTAAACAACAATGGTTTAGAATGGGTTTTTTGAAACTTCTGTGACCAGTCATTAAAGGATCATTGCTTATTAGACAAGCTACAAGACAAGAAAAGGCTATTTTTCTGTTCAGATACTTCCTGGAAGGAAAGAAATCCTCTCAAGAATTGAAAAGAACATCAAACTAAAACCAAACAGACTTTTTTACAGTCTTCTAGTAGAACATACAAGATTTATCACTGTAACAAGTTCTTCAAGTGAGAATTCTTAAAAAAACCTGTCACAAATACGTGTTACAAGAGGTGAAACTGTAAGGGATGGAGTCCAGAATTCATATTAATGACTTTCTCAGGGAACATTAGTATTTTTTGGCTAAAAAATAACGATTCCCTCGTTAATGTATTTTAATTTAAAACAGACTATCCAAATCATGTCTTGATTTAAGGTCATTCCCATTCTGCCATACTACTTTTTCCCAAAATAGTAACAATGCTCGTATTTGTCTATAATTAATTACGCAAAATGGACTTATAAATATGATATGCATATGAAATCATACTAAGGCTAAAAGATGTTTCAAAATTATCATCATAAGAAAGGAAAATTTAAAAACACCCCTATGGCTTAGCTACTGGATGAAATATTTTCCCTGATAGCTAATAAATCCCTCTTACAAAGGAATTTAAATTATTTACTTGTTTCTTACAAACAGAATCCATACGAAAGCCATACTTATCTCCTAAATAAGGATGGCAAATTATCTATCATGATAATAAGGTATCTCCAAATTGTACTATTTATTAACACTACAAAGGGAAGATATCTGCTCTGTATTTTGTTAATTTCAGGAAGGAAGACGCAATGTTACTTCATTTGTCTTCCTCCATGTGCACCCATAGTGCTTGCACAGCAACTAGCACAACTGGTCCCTGGCTTCTCACCAGAAACTCCTGGAATAATAAGAATCACTGCCCCCGTCATCTGGGACATAAACGGAGACACAGTTCAACAACAGAGCCAGCAAAAAGGATCACCTCACAAAATAGCAATCTGAGCTCTTACAACACTTCAAAAGGAAAGACATTTTCTCCATTAGCCACTTTCAATTGCAAACTTTACATGTACAGGTCTGTTTCAAAAAGAAGAATACCCAACTTCACGACAAAAAAGGTATTTCAAGTCATCCGGGGTTAGTGTTGCAAACATATACGTGTTACACATATATACCAAAGAAAAGTTCTTCCACAGTCCTTTCGTGTCCTTTTCAATCCAACTAGTGTTTAGGCTTCACACTAGAAAAGACTTACAGCCATCGTATAACTACATTAATGCAGTACAAAGCCCGAACTTGCAAGCCATCCCTGAAACTAAGAAATAGTAACTCCAGCTCAAGATTACATCACTGCAATCACCTTTCTCCTAAGAGGTTTTTTGCCCTACTGAAGTCCAAGCACAGGTAGAGGGAGTGTGTGCCCACCCGCAGCATCACATGACGATCCAGAGGGATCAGTGAGGGCAGTAGAACTTCAGAACAGCACAGGACAAGATGGGATGAGAAAAATAAAAACTACAGTACATGTAAAATGTCACTGATGCCTCACTTGCTAATAAAACTTGGGTGCAGTGTATTTTTGCAGAAAAATTTTCTCTGTAAATTTAACCTTCCAGAAATTATTGAGGGTACACTTCATATAAACTAATGACTTAATCTATTATGAAAACATGCTAAGCTTTCATACCCTGTAAAAGAGCAGACACCCTGTATCTCAATAGGAGAAATCTATACCCCAGCAGAACCTACTAGTCTCAAACACATTTATTTTTACTGTCTTCTTGCTATAAAGTATATTATTTATTTTCTGAACTCTGAAAAGAGGTTGGCAGCCATATATTCAATGAAAATGAAAACATGTGCTATAAGGAAATACACATATGTCATTTTAATGAGCAACGGGACATGAATCAATATATAGCATAAGTACTGAATTGTATCCTTAAATAGTTTTGCAATCCTAAAAATGTGCTGTATACGTAGCAGTTTTCTAAAGAAGACAGTCTGATAGGTGAATTACAATATACATGCATAAGTACTTGAATTACATCTGTCTACCTATATACATATCTTTTTTGCTTTTCATTAGACATTTTGGCATGCTTAGAATCTACTCCTTAAACCTTAACATGTGGATCACCTACAGTAAAAGACTCCAAAATAAAAAAAAAAAAAAAAAAAAAAAAAACCCAACAAAAAAAGCAATCTTGGCTTCGTATTCAGATCAACTGCACCCCGCCTCTTGTATCTCACCACCTTCATCTTGTAATTCACAGGTTTACTCACATGAGTATCGAAAAGCAACTGAGATACCAGAACCACACATGAACAAAAATCCTAGTTCTCCTCAATCACTGGCTAGAGATTCAGCTAAATGAATGGGATTGCTTCCACTAAAATCAGGAACAGAATTAATATTACCTAACTATGGAATTCATACTCCAGCAGAAGCCTGTGAAGATTTTTATTTATATTTATTAGAACATAAAAAAAGAAAACCAGAGACCTGTTTAGAATCAACAACTTCTTGCCATTCTGAGTTACATTTAAAAGCATCGTTGATGGCGACAGAAATAGGCGTTACAAGACAGCAAAGTACCAAAGAAACAGCGGAATGGCTTGACAGCTCCAATTCATAGCATTTTCTGACTAACTCACCACACCTACATTCACAGTGTCAGGAAGGACATCCCTGCCATCAGCAGGAATCTGAACAGAAGCAAACCATTTTTATTCAGAGCAACACTGGGAAGCTCAATCTTGTGTCCCTAGCAGAGCAGGTCCAGCCCCTCCTGGTGGAGGACAAAGATAGGAAGTGACGAGTTTTCCAGGAGCTGCAGCAGAGACCTGAGAGGGAAAAGGGCAGGAACACAGGAGGCTGAGCTAGGATGCATCAGAGAGGTTTTTGGAAGGTACCTGTGGGTAAGTGGTGATTTGTGAGCCATGAGGTGGGCAAGTGGGAGCCATGGGGAACACTCCTAAAGTGGTCAAGACTTTAACAAAGGCCCACTGAGCATGTCTGGGGAGAGCGAGGATGAAGGAAAAGTGAAAAGGTAGAATATTAAGAGGCCCAAGTCATGTTTAGGCATGGCATCCAAATCCCAAACGCAGGTCACCCCTCCACAACTCAGTGACTGGAAAAGTTTGAATGCGACTGCTGTGTTAAGTGAACCCTGGACATTCATCCACAAAACTACACACAGAAAAAAGTTAGCTAAAAGTAAGAGTTTGACATCAGAATATAAGAAAATAACAGACAAAAGTGGTTATTTTGGCTCCCTTTCAAGTGTCAGTGCACATTTAATTTTTGCTGGAGACAAACTGCTGTTGATGGTAGATTGATTTTAATGAGCTGTATCGGGTTGATAGCTTTACAGTGTTTATTCTCAAGTGTTCTCTGTGATTTGAGATGCCACCTATAGTACAGGAGTGTGTAAGCTTTTCACATTAAAACCAGAATAGTCTCCCTGACTTGAAAGTATCTGCTATTGCTACAGAAGACTACCACAAAGAAAAGAGAAGCAGGTGAAAAAATTGTGCTTTACCTGTCCATACTTTGCAGCTAAATGTAGGGGTGTCCAGTACTGATTATCCACTACATTGAGATCAGCCCCATGGTCCAGTATCAGAGATGCAACATTCTTGTATCCATTAGCACAGGCCACATGCAGCTGCAATATAAAAGTATCTTAATAGTTTAAAGAACTCAGAAAAACCAGTGACATGCTATTGCATATCTTGGCTGCCCCTCAGACCTAACTGGCTAAATCATGATAATGACAAATACAAAATATACATGCGATAACAGACTAGAAACCCACTGCAGAATCTTTTTTAGCATTTATAAACAAAACCTGCAAAAAAGTAAGAATGGTAGCTTATTGAGAACTACTTAAACAATCTAGTCTCACTAGATACTTTTCACGCCATTTCAAGCAAACATCTTTTCAAACACACACACAAACTTCATGAGCCCAGGTAGCTTCATACATTTCAACAGAGCTTGGCCTAGACCTAACCTTCTTTGTGGCCGTTCAAATACCCCAGATGTAAGTTGACGCTACTTTACTCCAAAATGAATTCATTAACATACAACCAAACCAAGCACATTGAGTTTGCAGCACAAAATCAGTCACAAAAAATATTTTCTCAATTTTGAACCACAGAGATTTTGTTTCCTCTGCTGGCATTGCTTCCCTAGATACTTAAGTGGTATTTGTTTTAATAATTGTAGTTGATTTTCTGTGTCAGTAAACTTCCTTTCTGAGTCAAAGTGGAACAGAGAGAAGGCAGAAAATGCAGTAACAGAATGACAGAAATTCAGGTTAGCAGGAACCTCAGGAGGTCAACTAGTGCAACTTGCTGCTAAAGCAGGGACAACTTCAAAGGTAGCTGTGTTTGCTCATGGCTTGTCATTCTGAGTAGCAAACACTGTATGACTGATAAGGTACTGAAAACTGCAGTGGCAAGAAGGGGAAAGAGGAAACTCAAAAGTATTTTTGTTAATGATCAATTTGAGAAACTAGACACTAACTTTTGCAGTTGTATTACTATTTAAGGCTCTATATGTGTTTGACATTTGTATCAGTAATCAATTCCACTATAAATAGTATTTACAGAATGAGACCGAGGGGGAAAAAGATAGATTTTATTTTTTATTTAATTAATACAAATAGCAGGTATGTATAATAAATATAAAAGCAATATAGTACCAAACAGGACTTGTGAAGAGAGAAAGAGAAAAAATGACCATAGAGAAAGACATAGTAGGGCAACACAAATTATTTGCTCTGGTAATAATCAAGTAAAAGAGGAAAATGCAATAAGGAATCCTATGTCAGGGAAAATTTGTCATTTGTGGGTTTTGGTGGAAATTGTTTCTTGTGTATGGTGAGTAACTCTGTTGAGGCACATACTTCACATGACGAGATCCATCCAGGTTACAGTTTAGTGGTCTTTATTTTCTCATGGTCCTCTGCTACAATTTCAAACATTCCGTCCACTTCTGGGAGCAAAGGGGACAAAATTTGCATTTGGAAATTGGCACAATATAATTGCTCATCTCCAGTCAGAAGCCATCAATTCTCATGATGATCAGTAAGAACAGGGCTCAGGAAGACTACAGAAATGGTGAACTGAGATTGTACATGTTAACCTGTATCCCCAAACCACACAGCCCAACTATATGATTTTTTTCCCTTGAAGTAATGTTAGCCAAAGAGACTATTTTTCTTAGCATTGAAATAGATGGCTAACAGGAAGAAAAAGGTCTTGCAATAAACTTGTTACTAGAACTGTGTAGTTCAAAAGTCACTATAAGCATAGGAGACACCGAAACAGAGTCCAGGACATTATTTGCCTTATTTACTATTTCTGGTTCACCTGCACCTGCAGACCATGCATAAAGTTTTCTCTATAAACATGCTTGATGCAGAGGGATGAAACACATTACAGCTCATCAAAAATCTTCCCCTGGAAAGGAGGCAGAGTACCCCTGCCCTGGGAGCAGAACAACTCTGTATGCTATAAATGCTCTTAATTTCAAATGTACAAAAACCTCAAAGTTTTCCAGTAATTTGACATAGCTTCAGCTTTTCTTCTGTTTCAACAGAAGAAATTACATTTTTTATTGAGACATCAATTCTGACAAGTGCTATTTTAAAGTAGTTTAAAAGCTCACAGGACAAAGGAAGTATTTTGTGACTGAAATCTTTCAAATAAAAAATACTACAGGATGATTTAGCAGAAAAATTAATTTTGCCATATATCATTCTATGTCTGTATTGCATGTGCACATATTTAAGTGCTATTAATCTATGAGAATGTGTCCATTTCTATATTTATGGCATCATTTTTTTGCCTGATTCATCTTAACTTCCACATGGACACAGATATATTCTATCAAGAGAAAACAAATCTCATTTGCTACTTAGAACTGAGATATTTGTTGTTTTCTCTGTATACATATATGTAAAGCAACAAAAACTATTCCCAGAACCCTTTGATACACATACAGCTATCACAGACTGGCTGACTCCACAACCATGAATAGAGACAGAGCAGTTGAACAAATTCCGGATTTCCCACCAGTTTGTTAGACAAAAGTTTCACATAATAGACATCTCAAACAAAAGCAAAATAATCCACTTTGTAGCTACTTGTTGCAAGACTATGAAAGAAGTTCAAAAAAATCAAAGTTCAACATAAAAGCCGTTCATGCAAAAAACATCCCCTTTATCAACATCCCACCAAACAAACAAGGAAAACCAAACTATCCGCAATGGTTTTCTGCTAGTATTTGCAGTACTCTCTAACATATTTCAGACATGCATTTCAACTACTCCAGCTAACTACAGAAAAGGTTTTATACAGTGATAGTTATGTAAGTTCGTAACTCAGTTTAACTAAGCCAATTCAGACTAGAGTAGCAATAAAAGTACAAGAGAAACAACTTTGCATTTTACTGTGATTTAGCAGCTTAGCTTAAATGTATCAGAAAACTGGAAGTTAAATTAATGCTTTTATGAATTAAACTAAAAGTTGTGTTGTTTCTTCCCACCCCTCCCCTGCTTCCCTCCTGTTTTTAAGTACAGTTAACCGCCTCGAGGTGACCACCCCAAAAGTCATAGCTTCCTGTATAGACAGAGCCAGTGGTTGGGATTCAACAACCCCAGATATGAGGCTGCTCACTTTTTCAGTTATAGTTTAAATACTCCACAGGTATTAAAATATGGAATTAAATACTAATGATTCAGTGTGTTAATTCAGTATCATGCAATGTAATTCAGCGTAAATGCTGAAAGAATAATAAATATGTGCCTTTCTAATTATTTTAGTACAGTACCTGCAGAAAAACACAGAAGATTTTTCAAAAGTTATTCAATATCTTAATGTTGTTGATGACCATTTATTGATTGACAATGATTTGAAGATTTTATATGCAAAGAGAACATTCCACAGATATGCTACCTAGGGAATAATACATTAATTTTTAAACTATTTGACTGCTGAAGAAGTAGCAATCCTGAAAAAACAAAGGGATAGAAGATCTATTAGCAGAAAAAAATACAATGAGACCCAGTGACTACAAATAACATGCAAATCTGGGAGAAGGAATACTTATTCACTGATATGGTGGAAGCTTCATTACACTGAATCAAGATGGGATAGTTTCACGAAAGTCTTTTAGCCTGGCTCAGCCAGAAGGTACGAGCCTAAAACAGGAATCACTGTGTGAAGTTTCAGGCCCTCTCTTACACAAAATGTCAGAGATCACAAGTATCTGCTGCAGTTCTAAACTACAGTGCTAATATTTTTTTTGCTATTAATTTTTGTTCTATATATTCAGTGGCTAAGAGTAAGAAAGCTGTCATTAAGACACAGATATTGCACTAGCCTACTTTAAAATCGGTACTATGCATGGCCTTGACATCTGTCTATTTTCAAAATGCCAGATGAGAAGCAAAACCTTGCATAACCTCACTTTGCTTCTTAGAGAACTGCCTTGCAAACATGCCCGTCAGTACACACTTGCAGTACATGCATATTCACAGGGTGATGATTACATGTTCCCACTCACCAGTGTAACTCCTTCGTCATTCTTTTGATTCACACTTCCTCCACTTGATATGAGCTGTCGGACATCTGTAAGCATTGTCATAGGTCTCTGTATTTTCATTTGGCGCAATGAATTGAGCTCTACACCTGGAAAAGAGAAAAGGCTAAGACCTTCTGGTATTTCATTCATCAATAAAGAACAGACATATGATCTTCTGCTCTGGGTTTGTAAAAGCTTAATCAACATTTAATTAGACTTCAGTGTACATTTATAGAACATGTTTACTTACTTATATTTACCAAAAAGTTTACTTGTATCTTTATTTTAAGTCACTAGATGGATGATTTAATGTCAGTCAACAATACTGAATAAATGGGCCTGATCTACTGACTGGCAAGAGCAGTTGTAGCTAAAGCAGTTGTAATATCATTAAATCCACTGGGATAGTGAAAATAGCTGCGAATGGGAAAAGAATTAAACACTCTAAGGAAGCCTCTCAAGTGTTTAGGTCTTATTTAATGAAAATTATTTTTGGCTGCTTTCTTTCAACCCTGTGTATACATCACAGTGCCTAGACCAGTCCCTCAAATCTGTTGGCTCAACCACTTGAGAGACTGTGAAGTGAAGAAAATGACATTAGAACTCAACACTTTTTTATCTGCCTGGGTTATTTTTAACCGGGATTAGTTCTCCTGCTGAGCTTAGACCATTACAAGGCCCCATAAACCAAGAGAAAATGTGGTACAGAAGCAGGAACAGATGGGAGGGGATGAAAGGAATGAAGGGCACAGGGTTACTTGTGTCAACATTGCTACTGAAAGAAACAGTTCTCGAAGTACAGTTTTAAAATGAAGATAAGCAAGGCAGTCCATAACCAAAAGAAAGCATGGCCTCCAGTCTGAAGAGATCTAAAATTAGAAACCGAGGGTACAACAAAATTGCTAAGTGGTTAAACTAGCAACTGGCTGTGGCTTGATTGGAATATCTAACAAAATTCAGGGCTTGATTCTTCCACTCCTAGCTTCACTGGTCACTTACATCCATATATAGAAAATGTAATTTGAGTATAAAAATCCTTCCTCTCTACCCTGGCCATGACGTAACAAAAAACACATGAATAAATTATTTCTCAGTTCTTTTCCACATTTGTCAGTGAGCTGAAAAGTGAAAAATATTAATTTAATTAATATCTATTTAACTTAATATTTTATCTTCAACAATTCTTGCAATTTTTTATATTACTAAAACAACTGAAGCATGTTTCAGAGTAAAACCATATTTTAAGTTTCTTAGTTTTAATCTACCCTGGAACTCGTATAAATGGGTGTACCATATGTAGTTCAGCAAAGAATCTGAATCATTTTCTTTCTCTAACATGCTACTATACACACTGCTTTATGTTCTGAATTTTATTTGCCTGCAGCACTTCTAAGAGTTTTAGCTCTCAAGTGAAACGTTCAGTGTGCGCACCGTCTTGCTGGCCACATTTACATATTCTCCTATTTTCACACCTGTCACCTAAATGACACCAAATGTAAAACCCAAGTCTAAACCTAAGCTGGAGAAAATGAGATGTTTTCTGTATCTGGACTAAAACCTGTGATCTTTCACATACATGTAATTCAGACAAACAAACATACATATGGTACTGATGTCTTAAATTAGATACGACCCAAAAGCAGAATTTGCTAACGTCCTATTGCCTGACAGTTGCTAGACTGGAAGACAATGCAGATTTCATAGGGTGTTCTGAGTATCTCCTAACAATCAGTGGATTCATTTTGTCAGAATTGAAGTTTTTGTGCCTTCATCACATTTCACAGTAATGATTTAAAACTACCCAATGACATTTACAGATTACTGATGCCACACGGCATCAATTAAATGTCTTTTTTTCTTTCTGTTTCTGCCTATTTCCTGCTTTTTGTAACAGTCAATTGATAGTTTAACATTCTTGTGCCAGTGACAGAACTCTCTCAAATCGCCAAGTTTAAATTTCCAAAACACTATGTGGTGTGAAGGGCTATATACACCCAAAATTAGTTATCATTTGCAGCACTCACTTCACTTTTTAAACACAACACAGACAGACAGAGCAGCTGAAATGAAACTTGACTGGTCATGATAAAGCTCTTTCTAATGTTGTCAGGTAAGAAAGATTAAAGTTTAAAAATATATGTATCATTTTCTGCCTGATGAAGGCAGCCATTTGTCAGTGAGCTGAAAAGTGAAAAATATTAATTTAATTAATATCTATTTAACTTAAGTACTACTGACAGAAGTTATGTCAATTTTTAGTTCCTCTTGACGTCTCCAATAAACAGTTAGAATAAGTTTTGTTTTTCAAGGAGAGAAGCAGCAGGTGGAAATTAACGTACTACCTCTTTTGTGTGTAACACCTCAAACACTCAAAAATTAAAACTAAGTTCACAATCCACAAATTAGAAATACCAGTTTCTGACTTTCCCCCAGAAGAAAAAAAAAAAAAAAAAGACTGAAAGTGAAGCACAGTTGTTATCAGGTTGTCCAGTTCGTCATGTTTCATTCATACAGTAATGGCTACAGGTTGAGGGCAAAGGCCAGCTGAGCCCACTCAGCCTTTTCTAGCAATTTACTATTGACTTACACTCAGCCTGGTCAGAGAATTAACTTATCGGTATATTCTTATACTGACGGTGAACTATCAATCCTTACACCTCGTAAATTGCATTTTATAGAACCTTGGTGTATCCTGTCTGGAGCCACAAAAAATCTGGCTATTGAAAGATTAACTTTGCTCATGCTGAAGGAAAATCAAGAAAAGAGTTCAGCTGCATCAACTGCTATATAAATTCTATCACAAATATAATTACACCCATCAGCTCAGAGAAAATGCATAAACAATGCTACATAGCAACAAAAGGCACAGTCTATGTGAATCTCAAGATAGCTTTATTGGCTTCAAACCAATAGTTGTATACAGGAATGATACACATTTCATTAAACAAATAGCAGTAAAAAGCCTGGCAAGTGAGCTACCACAGTGACATGGTTCCACAGGCTTCATTTTTTAAATATCCAAAAGAGTTTTGAAAATGCTACAGAAACAACAGAGATCCCCTTCCTCTGCCTTTATAGAAAACAGAATGAAAACATGAAAAAATAATCTAAATTGCAATCTTAGAATTGCAGGTTTGAATTCCAAGAACTCAGGAACTGTCAGGCTTCAGTGAAGGTTTCCCTGGTGGGGAGCTGAGAAGCCGATTTACCAAGCGTGCACACACATCATTCTCTGAGGCTCAAACAAGGAGACCTGGTCAGTAACTACCTTCACTTAATCAAGTTTGTAAATCTGGCGAGTTTACTCTCCCTCCCCAGGCAGTGATACTTTTCATCAGTTTAGATGGAACAATAAAATGTTACTCATACAGTAAGTAACTTGCTGCCTGAATCAAAGAATGACCTTAACATTGCATTTCAACAGGGAAATGCGGTTTAGATATTCAGCTGAAAAGGGATGACAGCCAGCATGAATAAATAGTGGAAGAAAACCAAATTGGCATGTGCTACAGGAATGGATTCACATTTTAAAAAAAGAAAAGTCAAAAAGAAAGGCATAGGATGGAAAATACGCCCCAAATACCCTGTACCAAATCAGAACAAGAACTACATGCTCATAAATTCTGCAGGAGATGAGATGGAGAAGGAACAGTTAAAACAGTAGTGACCCTGCAGGATGACAGGCAGGAGCATAACCTAAAAGCTACAAAATATATCACTTCTCACTCTTTAAGAAAAACACCTGAAAAGGCCATTTCACGTGCTTTGGCTGTCTCACCCTCTCTGGCATATGGTTATAGAACTGACAACCCAAAGGAATGTAAAAACCTCCAATAAAAAGCTGGAAGGTAACTTTCAGAAAGTTGCAGTGGTAAAGAAATAGATGGCAAACAGAACTGAGAATTGCTACAAAAAATAATCTCCTCAGAAATGTCTGGTACCAAGAAGACTCTCCATCTGCGAGGGGAACACCCGTTCCTGGGATCCGTACAAAGCGAACACTCAAGCACTTTTGGGGAAATACCCATTGCACTCACCCAGCAGTCACTCCTTCTGCAATGTGCACGTCTCATTCTCCAACGGGCTTAAGAGTCTTTAGGAGAGGTCAATATCACATTGCCTTGCAAACACAAATGTGCATTAAAAAACTTGCAACAACTTTGAGAAGCCAATCTCTCATCTCCTCTTAGTTAAGTCTTCTCTCACCCTGCCTGTATCTGCCCTTCCTGCCCAGAACTGCAAACAGAGCAAGGATCTTTTCACCCCAAGCGTGATGAGCCTGTCTGTATTCATCTATAATTTTAGGGATACCATTGTTTAGAAGTTCTATTTTTCTCCTGTGCAGCATAGTATAGGATAGACATGTTCATAATCAATAAGAAAAAAAAAAGTCACGGTATCATTCTTGAAACATTCATTTTCATTCATAAAAATATTCAGGTGTAGCTGTTACTTTATCCAGCTTTATTTGCTTTAAGTTTTAGGAGGACTCTTCTGGCTGCTTACTAGATAGCTTTGTAAAGAGCATTATCTTTGTTAAATTACATTGTTCAGTAGCTCTTGTGCGTATCGTTTGGCATTATGTGCATTTGATTTTCAAAGGTCAGCGTATGAACAGATACGTTTCAGCAACATTTATTATGTGAGAAGGGAAGTCAATATTTTCAGTATCTGCAAGAGTGTGTATTTGCAAAACTACTAAGCTCTAATTCACTGCAGAAGTACCGACTGATAGTTGTTGGTGGGTTTTACCTCTTTGTCTTTAAAGAGATCATTATATAGGCATAGTGAAAGATGTTTAGTTTATTTCCTTCCAATCTGAAAATGCTATCAGAAATGAAATTCCCATCTCCTCCTCACATAGTCATCAGAGTGACAATTCTCCCACTCTAGTGAAACATGCTTTTTTTTGTCTTCTCTTCTATAACAAGGATGTTGACGACCCTTCCAGCTAAAATTAGTTAAATTACCTCTGTCTCTTCTTAACTTGTATGAGAACAAAAATAATTTTTGTAATTTATTTTAACAGACTGGTACAATCTCAAGGCTTAATACTAAAGCATTCATCTGTGGATATGTCTTGCATGTTTATTATTTTATTTGTAAT